TTTGACGCTGATTCCAAATATCATCTTATATTTGTTTTTAAGTGAAGTTTGGATGACTAAAATCTAAAAAAACTGAAAACTGGCGGTTGGTCGACCATCTTGTTTTCAGGTTTTGGAGCTTTTTCACCACTTTTAAAATAAAGCTTTTGCGCTTAGTCTGTGAAAAATTGAATTCTTTATCGCATGTGATCTTCGAATTGCTAGGGAAATTCTGTTTTGAGGATCGAAACTGGCATTTTCTCGAAAATTTTGACCTGTCAAAATTCCAATTCTCCGATTGATGTGGGTTTTAAACAGTCACTTCCTACTTCAGAAAAATTAGAAACTATGTGATTTTGTTTACTCTTTATCGGGCTTTCGAATGAGATGTTGCTCGAACAGAGCGGATAAAAAATGGCGGAGTTATAGTCAAAATATCAGAGATGGCTGCTTTTCGCAAATCGACGAAGGTGCTGATTTTGTAAATTCCATAACTCAGTCAGAATAGGTCAGATTTTTTCATAACCACAGTTTTAATAGTAGAATCCGAATATGAAATAAAAAGTATATGTCCATTGTTCACTCATCACCGGTCTTTGACAAGATACTCGATCGACTGGCGAAGTCTTTCGTAAGACTGATGTACTTCTCTTATAGTTCCGAATAACGATCGAAGCTCTCGTTTGGCATTTGCACAAAAACTATCGATGTATGATCTTAAGTTACCAGTAGCCTACAGCTGACTGGAACTTCTTTATCTATTCAAACCATGTAGGATGTGTTCCTCTCCTAGACGCTTCTAATTCTTTCTGTGTATGCATATATATGAGTGATTCTGGTGTTTATTGTACCATTCTTTTTCAAAAAATGATCCCAAAAAACAGTAAACAGCTGTACTTAATAGTGTCATTAGCGGATAGAGGATACTTCAAAGTGTAAGACAAATTAGTTTTTCAAACTAACAGTTTTTTCTTTTTTTGGATTTAGAAACCGAAAGGTTTATGAAACATTAACTCTTTGTACATCAGACACACTAATTAGCGTATGATTATTAACTCAAAGATGATAAAAGCTAGAGACCAGCGGTTTTCACCGATGAGAAGAGGACAGTTTAGCCTATGTTTTCATAAGCAAAACAGTTTTCCGAAAGCATTCAGAAGACCGGTTTTCTAGGGAATCTTTTGAAAGCAAGTCCGGATCTCCGGAAACTGAGATACCAATCTATCAGTTTTTTTCCATAGGCAGATAGTCCAATGTGTCCTCTCGAAAATGAGAACTAAACGAACTCTTAATTTTTCCTGCGTCGGATGTGGCATCGGATTTCCTGAGGGCCCCAGGATCGATATGTCTTTACGTGTGGTAATTCTGAAAACGAACGGAACCATAGGTAATCGACCACGCTGAATCTCGTGGCAACATTTGTTTTTCAATTAAGTTTCAAAAACCTTGTGAAAATCTATATTAGGTGAAATAACCCATTTTTACCTATGTTTGAGTAAAATTAAAGAATTCATAACCCAGTCGAGGTCCACCCAAATTATGTCAGACTAACGAGATACACTCTATTTTACCTGCTCTATAGGTTTTTCTACTTAAGAATAGTAAAAAACATTCTTTTACTTCGAAGAATTTCTAGAAAACCTTTTCAGAAACCAAGGTATTTTCTGTTGATTTGTAAAGCTTATATTGAACTGCATAGTATTGAGCAGGTAAAATAGAGTTAATGACTTTCCATAAACCTTTCGGTCTCTAAATCCAAAAAAAGAAAAAACTGGTAGTTTGAAAAACTAATTTGCCTTACACTTTGAAGTATCCTCTATCCGCTAATAACACTATTAAGTACAGCTGTTTACTGTTTTTTGGGATCATTACAATAAACACCAGAATCACTCCCGAGTTCTCTGTATAACAGTTTCCACGAAAGATTTCTGGTCACCCAAAATGAAAGTGACCAGAAAAATATTTTAACACTGTAGGTTTATAGAGGTACTCGACGTCTATAAAAAACTCTGTTTCCAAACTATCAGGTCTTTCTTAGCCAAAATCGTGGTTGTTCACTTTTTGACTAAGGATCGAAAATGCGATTTGCTCTACTTTCCTGCTAAAGAATAATTTAGCTTAAAAATGCATTGAAACGTGGGTTTTCATATATGCTTTATCAACTGGCATCCTTAAAAAGTGGTTTTTCACAATTTCTAAGGTTGGGCCTCTAGAAATCCAGGTTTTCCGGAAATCCTTTGCTGAGTCGGTTTTCAGAAAACTGAGCCAGCCATTCAATTCAGGGTGTCAAAATACGTATAATCGTATAATCTGAGGCTTTATGTACTAGCCAAAACAATTCTAGAGATACGTTTGGGGGTGGGACATTTTGATGTGTTTTTCGAATTTCTTCCTTTAGAAATATGCTGAAGCCTTGCTATTTACAGCATAACTTGTGCTACCCATTTGACAGGGAGAGTCAAAAGGGGATGGGACAAATTGCATGTCAGAAGCTACCGGACATCAGTAAAATGTCAATTACTCAAAAACGAAATAAGCTAACAGCTTGCGGTTTTCAACAATCTATAGTGCCTACTTTGGTAAATCTTTTTATGGAAAAATATTTGACTTAAATTGCTTATAGGCTGCGCAGTAGACTCGAAAGGAGGTGGGACACGATTTTTGAACTTTTCGAGGACCAGAAATTTCATCGAAGTTTTCACAGAAGCTAAAAGAGATTAGGCAAAACTAAGACTGCAGATTGATAGAACAGATAAAATACTGCACAAAAAGCAAAAAAGATTTTGTTCCGCTGCCCCTTAAAAGAAGAAAAATGTTAATTAAGAAAAAAGAACGTGCAGGAACGACTAAGAAAAGAAGTGAAAAAAAAACCCCAAAATAAAGTGTTTTGCTTACTGTACACTAAGGAAATAAGACAGAAAAGAGATCTTAGCAGTATATATAGAGTAAAGTGTTCGAAATAAAACGGCATAAGCTTCTAAAAGTTCGATTTAGTATTAACGGAGAATCATGCATTTTCATTAGCTTAAGTCGAACGGTACAAAAATCACCAGAATCACTAGTATACATCTTATTCTCTGTCAAAATATATTTTTGAGAGTATTTTATCACTCTATTGTCTGTACTTGAATTCTCGAAAATGAACACTGTGCTGTTCAAAACGTCAAAGTAATTTTTAATCAATTAATACAAATAAAATAAAACTCCAAATAGCTGCTGTTACGATAGCGTTTCTTTTAAAATTTTTAAACGCTTTTCTACTCGAACATCTGTACGAACGTCTAATCGATGTCTTTGGCAAGTGCCTACATATAAATGTAAAACTACTAGCTCATCGTTCTTATCAAGAACGATAAAGGAATAGTTACCGAGGAAAGCTATGGTCGCATTTAACGATCAAGCTTTTAAGCGTGCATTGTCGAAACATTTTTCTTGAAGAAGTTTCTCTTTTTCTTAACTAAGACATATATGTTATATTTTTTTCTTTTTTTGTTCGGTATGATCAAAGTTTCTTTTAAACTTTTACTATGACCAAGTCAGCTTTAAGAACATGGACTAAATAAAATTACTACTAGAAACCGCATCTTAATTAGTACTATTGTCGACGTCAAAATATCATGCAGTCCAGTATTATTGTGTTAATAAATAATAAAGAAAATACTTTTAGGGATAAAACAAAATTAAATTCGAAGAGATAAGAAACAAAAAGAAAGAATGTTTCCTTTTATCATAATAATGACTCAGTCGGAGCCATGCAGGTTGCCACCTTTTGGCAACCTATAATCCAACCTATAAAAAATTTCACAAACTAATCTCAACCTAACCTACGAAGTCGGCAATGTAGTTCTAACCTAAACTATCCTGTGATGTATTGTTTTCAACCTACAGAGCATCACCCGCATATTTTTGTTTTCAAAGAACTGGAGCAGGGAGGAAACAGCAGTTGTAAAACAAAAGTTTATTTACTGAATCAGAGCCCAGCAGGTTAAACCTAACCTAATCTAATATAACAGGACACGTTGGATCAGCTTGCAAAAGTTATAAGTTAAGTTAGGTTGAAGTGTTTTTGTATTTTTTTCGATTTTTTCTCAGATCCTAACATTTAGGATCCTGCTAGGATTTTGTTTCTTAATGAATAAGGATAGTTAATCTCAGGTTGAAGTAATAAATGTATACGCGCCATTTTTAAATGCTTTAGAGTTACAAAGAAATATTTAGTAACTTTTGGTCAAATAATGAGAAATTCACGAGAGACAGAAACATATAAGCAATCCTATGAAATTCCTGTTCAAGAATTATCTTTTCCTAGTAAAATCCTAAATAATTCCTGCTACATTATGATTCAGTCATCGCATTTCCTTGCTAGGATTCTAACAGGATCTTAACAGAATCCTGGCAAATCCTACAACTTTCCGGTATACCTGATTTCTTTAGAATTCTGGAAGATTTTCCTAGGATTCTACCAAAAAGCCAGCTAAATCCTGGCCGGATTTCTCCAGGATCCTGTCCAGAAATGTATAGGTTTCTGACCAGGGAAAAGGCTCAGTGACATGTATGTTTACTTTTGTTAAATATGCATGTAATGCCGTGTGAATTGAAAACAAAACATCACAGGATAGGTTAGGTTAGAACTACATTGCCGGTTTCATAGGTTAGGTTATAGGTTGCCAAAAAGTGGTAACCTGCACGGTTTTGACTGAGTCATAATTACAATAAAAGGAAACATTCTTTTCCTTTTCTTTCTTCTTATCTCTTCGAATTTAATTTTGTTTTATCCCTAAAAGTATTTTCTTTATTATTTATATTTTACAGAACAGCAGTACAGTGCAAATTTTTCTCTGAAAATGGGTCTACCTGCGGAGCGTATTGTGAGTGCTAGTGGTATTCCACTTGACTCTCTAACTTGTAGTGTTTGTAAAGAAATTTTATGGAAACCGATCACCTGTGAAACATAAGGTAATTCATTTTGCACGGTATGTATCACACAGTGGTTGCAACAACAGCGGAGTAACCAAAGTAAAATGTGTCCATATAAGTGTCAATACAAACAGCGAAATCTCCCAAATCCACTAGCGGTTGAGTTGTTATCAAGGCTAAAGGTTAGTTGTGTGCATAAGTCCAGCGGATGCGAGGCTGTATTATCCTATGAGGCGTTAGAACAACATGAATTACAATGTGGTTATCAGCTGAAAAAATGCCAAGCATGTCCACTGATCACATTTAAAAAAGACATCGACCAACATCGACCAAGTTCAGTGTGGTTATTTCCAGATTAATTGTAATAAATGTCAATTGAAATATCAGCGAAAAGATCGACATAGCGCAACCCTATGTTTACAAAATCAGATCAAAAATCAAAATGGTCTTTTTGAGAGCAGACTTACCGCGGCGACAAATGATTTTAAACTACAAATTGAATTATTAATGAATAGTGATAAAGAAAAACAGACCTTGATTCAAAATTTAGCGTTGGAAATTCAAATATCAAAAAACAAAATTACTCAACAACAGGAGATCATTCCACGACTCGAACAAAATGATCAAAAGAAAGAAGCGACTATCAAGAAGTTAAACCAAGTAATTAAACATTACAAGGTAAAGTCATTTGCTCTTTTACACTGTATGCTTTAGTTTCATAGAATATGTTATTGAGTTTACATTTTCACAAAAAAAAGTCATAATTACACATTCTGCATGTTTAGATGTAAGAAAAGTAATTCAATTTGATAACATTCCAAATGCTACCAAAGTCATCGGGCTGGTGCCAAATGGTTACTGTGGGACGAATTGGAATAATGTTGCTCATATGCATATATCAACGGCACAAGAATACGATAAACAAGGCTATTGTTTCACAAATGCCTTCAGTCCGAGCAACAAATACGTAGCGTTTAATAGCGGCGGAAATTCTATGTCAATATTGAGTACTACCAACATGAAAACATTTACGGCTGAATCATTTGAAGCTAGCTCAGCTACGAATAACGACTTAAATTTTACAATTAGTGCATTACGAAACGGCCATGAACTGTGTAGGAAAGCCGTTACACTAACAAATGCACTAACATTAATAACACTTAATTGGACAAACATCGATACCATAAGATTCCAAATACCGGCAGAGAAATATATTGCTGTGAGTAGAATCAATTTATTATCATAGATCTTTTATCAATCGAGCAAAATAAATTGACATCGAATATTACCTATGAAATATTATCCATTGCTGAAAAAGATTTGTATTCGTTATCTTTTTACTTTATAAAAGAAAGCTTAAGATAAAATATGTTGCTTCTAGCACAAACTTTGAAAATCAGAGTCCAACTTTAGGTCGAATTCTGAATACAATCATTGGTTTTAATTTTAGAGGGACTCAATAACACTTTCACGCCGGAGGCATCAATATGATTCCTTTCATGGGTACTTCATACGATATTTTTTTCTTGGGCTTTAGTGCCAAATCATGCCAAAAATATGAATTCAGCTGTACTGATTATGAGTATCTTATCTGTTTTCATTTTGCCGTGAAAAATGAAACTTTCTCTATAAGATATTTTTACTCGAATATGATATTTTATAAAATCGACGATCAGCAAACCCTCCTACCCCTTCGGAATGAAGAAAAAGGAGAATAATACTAGCAGCGGGGTGATTCTTTTGAAAGTGTACTAGAGTTTACATCGACTTTGTCTGAATTGTTCGAGAGTAACAGAACTAGTAGAACTCGGGCTCCTGATAACAAATATCACGTTTAAAAAATTTTAAAACGACGACATGGTGGTCTTCTAGACCTGTGGATATCCTATTTCACAGCAGAATAATCCTTTTGTGGGCATTTTCACCATTTTTTAGTGAAACACTTTTATGAGCTAGTACCACAAGATTAGCTTTTATATGTGCAGCCCTTTTTTGTAAACCATTTTTTCCCCATAAAATCATATCAACACAAGACAACAAAATAAGCATTCGACAGTACTTTGCAAGTTTCACTTTAACGGATTCGCGTTGCGATTAGGAAACATTTAATGATAGAATTTGAAAAATCCTATGATGTTTTCTCTGGAAAAATATTTTTCCATGAAAGTGCTTGGCCAAAGACAAAAACCTGTTTTTCTAATAGCCCATGTCGAGTACATGCGAGATATATGTTACAATATAATAATTCAAACAAAGTTGATGTAAACGTGGTACGTTCTCGAAAGAACAACCCAGCGGCCACTAGCAAAAAAAATAAAAATTTACCTTCCCCTCATTCCACACGTGCTCAGAAACTCCTATGTTTGCTGTTAGGAAAAATTATTACAGGACAGCCCGCAAGTGTTTTTCCTACGAGATCTGGCAGAATTTTGTTGGTTGAAGAAAAAAGGATTTTGTCTCCCATGTCTATACTGTAGTCTTTTCTCACAATGTCTGTCCTAATAGGCGACCAATTCTGAAGATCGAATCATCGAATTATTTTGGTAATATTCGATATATCTATTCTCACACCTGTATTTAGAGAAAAGTTACAGAAAGGCGATGTTGAAGATTATGAGTGCTCAGTCCATAATTCCTTTTTCAGTTTAACTAAGAAACAGTCATTTTTCTCATACAAAGGCTTTCTTCCTTTTGATCGAACATCCGACAAGACGCGAAATGGCTTGTTTTCTGGATAAAGGACTCCTTCCACAATTCTATATCCGACCAACGAAACTTGCACGAAACGTTTAGTGGCGTAGTTTAAGCACGAAAACAGATACATGCAATTGTATGAGCCATTATTACCCTAGTCTAGAGTCCCGGCAGAAGTCCCGTTTTGTTGAAAAGTCCGGCGGGAGTCCCGATAGAATCCTGCAGGACTTCCTCACGAGGGTTTTTCCTCAAAAAGACATAGGGAGTCTTGCGGGAGTCCACAAAAAGTCCGGCGAGAGTCCCGTACACAAAAAATTTTATATTTTGCTGTAATGAAATTCTAAATTCTAGAAGTCAAACACTTCGATAGAATCAAGTTCAACCACTTCCTACTGAATTTTGGAATTATTCGTGTGTAGAATCTCCACAAATATCGGGCTCATAAAATACGACTTACCAATAGATAGTCCTTAAAAATGTTTACTCATTGCATATACTTAAATATTTTCATTGCTACTTTCTACTCGTTGAATGACATTTTTTCTAAAAGTCATATTTCAAAAAATAGCGCGATTTTCCCCTTCCAGCTGCTGTCTGTAGAAAAAACATTATGAGTAAGCCATTTGTAGCTCAGAAAAGATCATTAATATAAAGTTTTATACGAAAAGGTTTACCTTTCTTTCTCCCACAAAAACAGTGGACAAATAGTTTTATATAGTTCGGGAATAGTTAATTGCTGCAAAGGAGCGATTTTTATGATCAAAATTAAATAAACGAGCTTTTACTACGGCAACAGATACCGAGTCGAGAAGATAGTATATATCTTTGAAAGAGCTGTTGATGCACTATCGAAAAATGAATACCTGATCTTCTCAGTATTTGTTGTAGTACAGAAAAAAATTCGCAAAACATGCTGAGAATCAATGGGAAGTGGTTGAACTTGATTCTATCGGTGTTTGACCTCTAGAATTTAGAATTTCATTATTGTAAAATATAGTCAACATTAATTTTCTAGAGAATTAAATTGCGCATCTTTTGAAAACGGATTGAAGTTTTCTCAAGCTTTCTATACGGAAATAAAGTACCTCCACCACTACTTTTGGATAACCCTAAGTACTTATCATTCATCCTACGTAATGTCCTTCTCACTAGAGACTCAGGATGATGTTACATACTACCAGAAGATACTCTCCTAGTCACATTTTACTGGAATCGCCTATGTCAAATTTCATCAATAAATCATTCATCTAAATCATCATCAAGTGCATTAAAAGTGGCAAAACGTCTAAGCGGTTGCACTGCCAGATATCGGGAGAGATTACTCGATAATTCTCTTTGGTACTGATATGCAAGCAAAAATGGCAAAAGCAAATAACAGTATAACAAAACAAGTCTGATCGTTCATAAAACTAGTCACATTTGACATGCTTAGTGCTTCATTCAATGACAATTTTGCCCGTTTTAAATCTGGAGGTGTTTGTGAAGACATAAAAGTGTTTGATCGGTTAGTAGCCGCAGGAGGAAAATTAGTAGGTAAATTCGTTTGAAGTTCTCTTTTGACAGAATTGATTGAGAAATTATGCTCAACGTCGCTTTTATCAACAGAAAAATTCTAAACTTAAAGATATATTCTCACAGAATTTTCGTTATATGCATTCTCGGACCTGCTTGCCGGAAAAGTTATTTTCATTTTTTAGTCTATTGCGGGAGCCGAATCCGGCAGCCAGGTCCGATAATGGAAATATAATACTGCAGCGAAAAGGAAAACAAGTAGTCGATCAATGAAAACATGGCTGATACTTCTATGCACTGTGCGGTGTACACATTTCAATAGGATTAAAGAAAATGAGTAGGAATCTAGAAAATGTTTTCAGCTTTGTCGTTTCTTCGTATGGTTAATATTTGGGCATAAAAATCTTGCGGATTTGATCACCGTAGTTTCCAAGAAAGTCAAAATGCATTACCATGTCAGAAGGATCAGCTGATCGTTTCCAGTAAATCACCCATCATAATCTTGCAAATGTATCATATGTGATACATGAACTCCATGTTCAAAAATTAAACGAATCACAGAGCATACATGGCATGTATGCTATATGATTCATTATTGTCCATGTATTACATGGACAGTGAACGTGTTAATAAACAGTTCAAATCAAATACGCCCAGACTTCTAGTAATCAAATCCCAACAAAGTAATCAAGATCCGATGATTATACAGAGACAAATGATCAAGTAAAGGGTAATTAACAGACATCGTTAACAAGTGCTAGTAATGAAAGAAATGTTTACCATCATCAGGATTAATTCTAGAATCGAACAGTTTTTCGACGATACAGTTCGAAAGAATTCAAAAAGTTTGAATAATACGAGATAAAGCTTTAGTTGGATCGAAAACGATTATATCAACTTACGTCTGAGATCATTTATACTCAGAACGTAGAAATAGACAAAATTTTAGGACTCAGCTCTTGTTTCAGCATTTCAATAGCTCATTTGGCCCAGAATTTTGACTTATTTAAGCCTGGTGTATCAAAAACTTTTAGAGAAGAGATTGAAGGCAAACAAAAATGCGAAATTTAATAGATGTAATGCTCATCTCTTTTATTTCGATCGATCCGGCAAAAAACCGTTTTGCAGTGTCCGATTACTTTTACACTCACTGTCTGGTCAACAGCATGTTGGTTAAAATGTGCTGGTGTTGACCAAACAAATCGTTAAATAGGACATCAGAATATCTCTCTGAGCATGACGCTTTCCATACGAATGATTGAGAGTAAGTCTCTAAGTTACCTTCGAATGGTAATGAAAACTCATGGAATCTGAGTAATTTTTGAAAATTTATACAGCCTTTAAAAGACCTTCAATACGTGTAGGAAATGATCGTCATATGCAATTCAATGCCCTGCTGTCTACAAAACGGCGCGATCAGAAGCCGGCTTTGCAGTATCGCCAAATACTGAAAGAAGATTGTTGGTGAAGGAAGGTCGTTTTTATGATACTGAATGTATTGGAGGTTCTAATAGATTTCATAAGAAATGTCAAAAATTAATTTGAGACAGTTAATAGCAGGTGGTACAATTAATTTAGAAACCGGATAGTTTTATAACTATGTTTAAAAAAAGAACTAGTTACTACTGACTTTATCCTTTACTAACACAGATAAGGTTATAAAACACGGATTTTATACTATTTACAAGACCATTTATTCCAGCTTTATTCATTGGTAATTTTTTGGGTCATTTTATTTTGATATAAACTATATTTATTTAATAATAATAAAATGAACCTAATAGCCGTCATCCAATATAGACACCACGGTTAAGAGTTATTGTACAAATGTTGTTCTTCCCGCATAAATCAAATAACACTAAATAGACAGAAAAAGAGAAAACAAAGCGAAAAAGAAAGGAAACGTAGCTCATACTGCAAGCAAACAAGTTAATCGTATAGAAAAGAAAAAAAGATACATATAATATATTAGAATCTGTTTTGTTTCGCATGCGTACCTATATGCGTAGCTATTATGTTTTACAGGTCTTTGTACAAGAAAACATTCAAGTTTATTTCGCAGTAATAATGTTTCTATGTCAATGTCAAGTTTGAAATTGTGCTATTTTATTCATTAGAATAGTTTAATTTTTTGTTAACTTGAACAAAATTTAATGAAGGAAAATAAATAAAAACAAAACGAGCCAGAAACACCATGGGAAGGAAGGTGACAGCAAGCAGTCGTCACATTCTCTGCCCAACTGCGAAGCACAGGAACAAAAATCTTGAGAATGACATCATTATAAGATAATAAAAAAAGAACGCAATACCGATGTAAGGTGCGCGCAATTCAAAAATCGAGCACTGTCTTAGTTTTCGGTTAGAAGCTACATATTCCGACAGCCCTGACTGAGCTGATTCCGAATATCAACTTTTTATTTGAATTCGATAAGTTTTCGGATGGAGATCCTCAAAATACTGAGAGCAAAGAAAAGACAAAGGATTTGCGTCACTTTGAGGAAACTTGAGATTTCGTCCTCTTTCTCTCACTGTAACTTTCTGAATTTGATATATTCGGATTCAACATCGAAAACTGAGTCTAATCATGTGCCTTTGAGCCACACAGAAAAAAAAGCCCCGTGTTACACAATTTCGACAAGAGTAGGCGAGCGACATCATGAACTACTTTTCTCGCAAACCTATCTCCTTTCTGGTTTTGAAACTTTTCTGCGATCGTCATACGCCATTCGAATCGCCATTTAAAGCTGAATAAAAGTACTTATCGCTTTTTTTCTAATATTCTTATCTTACTGAGAATACCCATTTTTTCCATTCCGGTGACAAAATCGCCAAAAAATGAGGTCATATTTTGAGTTTTTGACTACAAAAAATTTATCTTCAAGCAAAATGGGCATGGTATTCGGAATCAGTATGAAAAACTGCATCGAATAATATTTATTTTATCAAAAACTATTTTCCGTCAAAATCCAACCCGTACTCCTCAGGTATTTTTACTGAATTTTTCCATGAGGGGTTGGGTTTTGACGGAAAATAGTTTTTGATAAAATATAGATTATTCGATGCAGTTTTTCATACTGATTCCGAATACCATGCCCATTTTGCTTGAAGATAAATTTTTTGTAGTCAAAAACTCAAAATACGACCTCATTTTTTGGCGATTTGGTGTTTATGATAGTCATTCGTGAAAATTAATGGGAACAACGTTGCTGCATATTCATTCGTATATTGATGAATTATCTAGCCCAAGTAAAAACTATCTGTTAGTTATCTACCATAGCAGCACTATGGGCGTAAAAAAGAAGTCAAACCTCGTATAAGTAGAGGTTGGTTGTATACTACTCCTTAAGAGTGATACTGACCGTTAAAGTGTTGCTCAACTTCAACCGTCGTACATGATATATAACAGAACGTCAAGGTTTACTTTTACAGTTTTTTCTGCAAAAGCGAAATTTGTTCGATTCTGTCTGTTGTTTGTACAACGATTGTCCTTGTGTGATAAACGTTGCTGCATATTCATTCAAATATTGATGAATTATCCAGTACAAGTAAAAACTATCTATTAGTTAATGGGAATAGCAAATACAGTATTTTGTTAAAAAATCAATTATACAATTCTGCTCAAATCAGCGAAAAAGGGAAAGCAAACTTCGGACTATCCATCCGCAAACTTTTCCAGCTTCTGTGCTCAGTGATTAACACACATTGCCCAGAAGATTAAGAAAGCTGAACTAGAATTGCAGCAGAATTGAAGTGGTACAGAATCAAAAGAAAATAATAATAATTACAAATATTGTTATGCTAAAGAAAGATTCTTTGGTTGAATACATTAAAATAATTCTTCTAAGATGCAAATAATCTGTTTAGTTCCATGAACAAACGAACCTAGGCACTGTTTGTCCTTCGGTGCAATTTGATATTTTAGCTTGTGTACAGGAATTACAATCAAAAAGTCTTGTTATAAAAGGACATGTTCCACATGTGTTGTAACATGATGAATAACCAGGACTGGAGTTATAGGTTCCGGCTGGACAGGGTTTTGGACATATTTTTGGGTCATCGCAATAGTGTCCCGGAGGACACTGATAACAACGGGTTGAATTTAAGAAGGTATTATACTGACCAGAACTACATTTTGTACAGACTGTTTGTCCTTCAGTTGAATAAGTTCCTATCGGGCAAGCTATTGGTAACTGATCCGCCGTCGGACAATAAAATCCTCCGGGACAAACATTACAAGAAACAGAACCATTTTCAACAGTAAACTGGCCATCGTAACATTTTGAGCAACTGGTACTGCTCGTACTCAACTGGTATGTACCAGGCGGACACATTATCGGAAGCATATCCGTTGTTGGGCAATAGTAACCTCTTGGACATGGTAAACATTCTGTTGCACTACTATTTGCTGAATAGTAACCTTGTGAACATGCACTACAAGAAGCGTATCCTTCATTGGGTGCATACTGGCCCGGATTACATGGAACAGGTTCTTGATCTCGTCTTGGACACGAAAAACCTATGGGGCATTTATTACAATGATCGGAGCCAGCATATGAAGAATAATAGCCCGAAGCACACGTAGAGCAATAACTCTGTGTCCATCCGTCTGAATATTCGCCGGCAAGACATACGTATTCATCGATCCCATCTGAACAATAATGGCCGGGTGAACATGGATAACATTGACCTTCATATGTATAATAGCCAGTGGAGCACGCCTGTTCTGATGATTGAATAATAATGCCAAACAGATAAATTACTAAGAACCACCAAACCATATTGATTTGTGTATGCAACAGCTATATTTATGCCTGCGTTTATACTTAAATCAGCAAAGAAATATTTGTTATAATCCCAAAAATCAGAATGAAGAAACCAGTGTTAACTAAATCGTAGTTGATAAGAACTACTTGGTTAACTTTAAAAATTACTTTTGGGTAATGTCAAATGATGGTGCAATGAAAGGCAGGTATGGCTAAACGAGAAAAGAAAACAAAGTCATATTTTTTATTGATCATGCATCAGTGGCAACATACCTTCTCTCTCTTCTCTCTGTTTGGCTTTTGTTTACCATAAATTTTCCTTAATGATAGAAATGTATGTATGTGCATGTGTCATAGAACATGACTAAATTGTGCGTTTATTCGAAAAACAAAACTTGTAGAATCTGACCATTCCTCTTTTTATTTTTCTTCCTTGTCCAAGGCTAACACTATGATAGAAATGCATCTACATTGGTATCGCGTTCTTTTTTTATTATCTTATAATGATGTCATTCTCAAGGTTTTTGTTCTTGTGCTTCGCAGTTGGGCAGAGAGTATGACGACTGCTTGCTGTTACCTTCCTTCCCATGGTGTTTCTGGCTCGTTTTGTTTTTATTTATTTTGCTTATTTATTTAATTTCTTTTCATTAAATTTTGTTCAAAAATTTAGTTATTAGTGTTATCTGCGGTTGGTGCACCTCATCAATCTCTTTTGAGAAAATCGCGCCATTCTCGAAAATGCTAGATTTTTGACGCTGTGAAGTGGGTTCGATCGGTCAGACACTTGTCAACACGTTACAACAAATGGCAAATCTCCACTGTCCACCGTTCTTGCGGAGACTAAGGTTTTTGCTAGAACCCCGATCGTGGCTATTCTGACTCGTGAAGTTCGAAATAAGTCGAAACAAGAGTTATCGACAGGTTTGCCAGAACTGGTGACTCATGGGGGACGGAACAAAGGATCACCATGACGATTTCTTTGTTCCGTCCCCCTTGAGTCACCAGTTCTGGCAACCTTGGTTATCGACCGTGCTTATCATCGCGGCAATATTTGTTTCCCTCCCCAAAGTAAAATAACATCAGACGATCAGTGTTATCAATAATCAACATTTCCAGGACGCTGAATGAGTCACGATTGAAAATTATTAATGTAATTTTAGTTTGCGAAGTTGGCACAATACGAACTAAATTTATAGTGAGTACTCTCTATTAATTTACTCCATCAAGTATGGAGAGAGCAAGATATGAACATTTGCTGGAAATATATGACATTTGTCTTTGTTTATTTTATTCTTTAAACAGCGAAAAACAATAAATGTTTTCTTATAGTCTAAATACTATCAGAGTAGAATAAACTGTAAAAGCAAAGTAGAGTACTATGGGGGAAAAGAGACACCTTTTCGATCCTTTATAATAATCTTTTGACACGTAGCGTCAATCGTCTTTCAAGAAATCAAATCAATTAGAAAAAAAACTGAAGTTTCTGTATTTATAAGAAATTTATTAGAAAATGAAATGCTGTGTAATAGTGGAATACAGGAATTTTAGTCGCTTTGACGAAAAAGTGACTGACAGTTCGAGTAGCATAGCGGCGATCTATGGAAAACCTAGTATTTGATTCACACCAGCCGCTAGCAGGCTTCGTTAAGGTTCCTATTAACGCATATAGTAGAGTTGTTCAAGACGCATCGAACAGTATATGAATAATTAGGGACCACCTTTAGTTTCATGGAGAAAAGTGACTGATATTTTGCGGCATAGGAACTTTTGCTGGCAGCAGCCGACGGGAAAACCTAGTATTTGATTCACAACAACCGCCGTCAGGTTTCGTAAAGGTTCCTATTAACGCCTATGGTAGAGCTATTCAAGACGCATCGAGTGGTGTACGAATGATAAGGGGTCATCTTTAGTTTCATGAAGAAAAGTGACTGACAATTCAAGTAGCATGAGGGCGGTATATGGACTAATCTAGTATTGAGTCACAACGACCGCTGTCAGGCTTCGTTAAAGTTCCTATTAACACATCTTGCAGAGCCTTCCAAGATACACCGAACGGTGTATGAATGATTAGGGATCACGCTTGGTTTCACCGAGAGAAGTGATCGACGGTAAAATTAAATTTCTACTAGACTCTAGTAGAAATTTTGAGAAATTTAATTTTACCGTAATACTGATAGTGTGACGGGTGTGTTTCTCTGTGAGCAGATTTGATCGTATACGTCCAATAGGAATTGTTCGATAAAGTCGAAAGCACCGAATAAGATAACTTTGATGAGTTCTGGATACATGGGGGCAATAAAAGAATAATAATTTAGTGGGGCGATTTCAAGTTTTATGCAGACTACTCCTTTTTGCCGCCACTAGTAAAATAAACAAGAAACCACCCAATTGCGACGTAGCCGCGTTGCTGGATGCATAGTGCGAGAAATTGTTCTTTAATTTTCGCTAATGAACAAAGACCACGAAAAGCATTCTTTCGAACAAGTTTCGGAACACATACTCGCTGCAGTACAGTTACCAGTAAGAACTTCTGTTACTGCTTTGAAAGGAAACGTTTCTCACAAATGGTATGGACGTAACACATCGTTTGGTTCAGGCAAAGATGTTCTTAAAGAAAACTGACTATTCAGTTTTGGAAAACCATGGATAATATAAAAGAGAGTCATTCTTTTAACAGTCGTCAAATGTTTAAAGTGGTATCACAAACTAGTTAAATGATAATAATTATAGCGGGGAAAAATAATGAACTGAAGAAATAAAAGAACAAGAAAAGACAATCAACTAGAAAACTGTATATATACGAGAATAATTTAAACAAGCAGCATTGCAGAGCGTCCCATAGAAAACTGTTACTTCGAAATAGAAGTAATGAGATTGATCCAGTTGCCAACGTTATTAGTTGAATGTAATCAAATAAATTTGAATATCGGAATGCCGAAGGTACCAACGAATGTCAATTTCACGTGGCAAACATTTGACCGTTACTATTTGGCTGTGTACATTGTCATGACTTCGACCCCCAACGTTATAATTTACTTATAGCGATCAAAATAAATCAGTGATTCTGGTGTTTATTGTACCATTCTTTTTCAAAAAATGATCCCAAAAAACAGTAAATGGTTGTAAGTTACTTAATAGTGTCATTAGCGGATAGAGGATACTTCAAAGTGTAAGACCAATTGGTTTTTCAAACTACCAGTTTTTTCTTTTTTTGGATTTAGAGACCGAAAGGTTTATGGAAAGTCATTAACTCTTTGTACACCAGACACTCTAATTAGCCTATGATTATTAACTCAAAGATGATAAAAGCTAGAGACCAGCGGTTTTCACCGATGAGAAGAGGACAGTTTAGCCTATGTTTTCATAAGCAAAACAGTTTTCCGAAAGCATTCGGAAGATCGGTTTTCTAGGGGATCTTTTGAAAGCAAGTCCGGATCTTCAGAAACTGAGATACCAATCTATCAGTTTTTTTCCATAGGTAAATAGTCCACTGTGCCCTCTCGAAAATGAAAACTAAGCGAACTCTTAATTTTTCTTGCTTTGGGTGTGGCATCGGATTTCCTGAGAGCTCCTGGATCGATATCTTCTTAGGTGTGGTAATTCTGAAAACGAACGGAAACATAGGTAATCGACCACGCTGAATCTCGTGGCAACATTTATTTTTCAATTAAGTTTCAAAAACCTTGTGAAAACCTATATTAGGTGAAATAACCCATTTTTACCTATGTTTGAGTAAAATTAAAGAATTCATAACCCAGTCAAGATCCACCCAAATTATGTCAGAATAACAAGATGTACTCTATTTTACCTGCTCAATACTATGCAGTTCAATATAAGCTTTACAAATCAACAGAAAATACCTTGGTTTTTGAGAAGGTTTTCTAGAAATTCTCCAAAGTACAAGAATGTTTTTTACTATTCTTAAGTAGAAAAACATATAGAGCGGGTAAAATAGAGTACATCTTGTTATTCTGACATAATTTTATTCCCAGTCAAGACCGTTGGGTGGATCTTGACTGGGTTATGAATTCTTTAATTTTAC